CGCTCGCCTCCAGCACCGCCCGCACCAGCGCCTCGCCGGATTTGGCTGTTTCGGCCGCTCCAGTTCGCCGTCGACCGCCCCGTCTCGCCCTGTGCTCCTCCTTCACCTCGTGCATCCCGTGCTAGCACCTTATCGCCGTGGTAAGCTATGAGTCGCCGGTAATCGCTCACCGGAGCTTGGTCGAGTTCACCGGAGATGCGTCGCTCCGTGGACCTCGCCCCTCCATCCTCCTTCTCGCCTCCTTTTTGTGCACACGAGCACCGCACGAACACGGGGTAGCTCGCCAGCCACTCCCCGCGCCACCTCTCAGCAGGAGCTGGCCGGCCGACGTTGAGCCATGCCACCGCGCCGCCATGGACGCCGATGAGCTTGCTCCCGAGCTCCACTGGCCGCTGTAGGGGTACCGTTAGGTCCGCCATGTCTCGGGGAAGCCTCCGGTGGTGACCTCACCACCGGCAAGTTCACCGGCGGCGAGAACCGCCGCGGCCGAGCGCCTCCCCTGCCTTAGTGACTGACCGGTGGGGCCAAGGGACCCCCTGTCAGCCGCTGGGGTGCAAGCCTGGGTAGAGATCCGGGTGGATGTAGCATTTTTGAACCGGGATTTTCAGAAAAGAATAAAAGAAATGATTTACAGATTTTGTTTAAAGGCTTTGGAAATTTATAACTTGCTCCAAATGGCTCCAAATTAGTTGAAATAAGTTTTGCTAGGTTTCTTGTGACTAGATCTATCTGCTAAAAATATTGCATGTCAAATTTGTGATACTTTTCTGTGTAGTTTTATTTAAATTGAATAAATGCCGATTTCTTAAAAAATGTCTAGTAAATAGAATATGCATCAGAAAAATGTGGTTCTAGTTTTGTTAATGTCCTTTAGTGATGTACTTTGTAGGAAAAATATATGTCATGCATGTTCTGTAGAGAAATATTGATGTGTAGTTCAAGTGCCTTTAATTGATGATTTTTGTTATTTTGATAGAGAGCAAAAATTGTATAAAACATGTGTATGATAATTTTTGTGCAGTGATTGTTTACTGTGTAGAACATAGGAAAAATACCAAATCTATTGTTTGACAGTTTTCATAGTACAAAGTATTTTCATGCTTAATTATTAACCATAGCTTGTCATTTTTGTGTAGGCTATTTTACTTATCCAAATGCTATTAAATTTTATGGCAGTCTACTTAGAGTAGTACTATGCTACTGTAATTTTCTCAGATTTTTATGAACACTAGAAATATATGTTGTGTAGCCCTAGTTTAAAATAAAATAAAATAATCTTCTTTAATGCATGTTTAGTTAATAATGTTTGCTTTGGTGTATCTTTGAAGCATCTTCACTTGCTGTGGTGATTTGACATGTTAGTCCAATGGTTGTCGTAGTAGATAGTAGTACATGTTCTTGGATGATGTCGACTACCTTGTAGACGAGCTTTGCTACTACTATGTTCAATAAAGTTAAACATGGTCATCTACATTTCATGCATCATGATCATTACATGTCATCTCTCTGATGCACCTATGCATTAGCACTTATACATCTGCATCATACAGGATCGCAGGAGGAGTTGCTAGTAGCAGTTCAGGAAGAGCAGACCGGGACAGATCCACAAGAAGTCCAGACACAGGAGGTGCCAAAGGAAGAGGAGCAAGGAGAGGACTTGTCGGAGTACGTGGATCATCAACCTAGTTCGTTCGAACGAGGCAAGCCCCGGAGCATTCTAAGTCTCCTACTTTATAAAAGCAATTCTTTCTATATATATGAATTTATATATTGTTGCATTGAGTTGTAGGAGTTGATTGAAACTATTGATGCATTTATTACTATCCTTGCCTACCTTATTACCTTTTACCCTGTTAGGTCAGGATCGAATAACTGCTTAACCTTGTTTAGACCGGTAGCGATCGGTGATACCCGGTCACCTACATTATAGGTGGTTACTAGAAGAGATTGGCTATGGAAAGAATGATATCCTGGAATTAACCATATGTGATGAAAAATTGGAGACCGGACATAATAGTTGGAGGCAACCAGACAGGGTTCTGGGGTGCTGTTAGTTTCCGTCTGTGTCGATTAAGGACCGATCGTTGCTCGTCCCTCTTGTCATGTTGAACGCATGCCTCACATTTAGCTGGCCGAATAAAGTACCTTTCGAGCGCGAAGCTAGTGGCACGGTTCGGGCCGGGATCTACACGAGTGCGCGTATTGGTGCTGATGGGGGTATGACAGGGGCGCGAAGGGTGAGCCCAAGGGCAGGTGTGACCTGATTCCTGGCAGTCGGGCGGTCCCTGGGTACTGCGGCTCTAGATTATCCTGCGGCTACCTGAAAAGTGTCATTTGTGATATAAGCTACCCTGGCAGGGGAAGCATGGTTTGTGTGAGGAATAAATCACCAGCTGGTTAGAAATCGATTCAAATCGTCATCGCTCCTGGATAGTGAGCACTTGACTCGAGCTACGGCATCGTAGTAATTACTATAGAACAATGATGGTTATCTGGATGATGTGAGTTATGCTAAGCTAAATTGGTAACTGGATGTTATTGGTTAATCATGTGATTGCTATAGTACAAGTGCTTACCTAGATGGGTAGGTTATAATAAAGATGATGCAAAGTACTTAAAATGGTTTATTCATGATAACTTATGCTTTCGCAAAAGAGTCAGCTAGCCCACTAAAGAAAGCCTTGCATAATCCTTGGTGTCGTTTTATTTTGGTTTAAGGCGGGTAAGTCTAGCTGAGTATCTTCTCATACTCAGGGCGTTGTTCCCATTGTTGTTGCAGATGGTCAAATATACTACGGTTATTGCATTAACTGCCTGTATTCGGCGATGGGTGACAACTAGGACTAAGGGCAAATGGTCACTCCGTATTTCTCATCTGATGCTTTTGTTGGAGATGACTACCTGCTGGCACTGTATCTCAATCCAAAGTGTGTGTGGCTTTAAAACTATTTGCTTCCGCTATTTCAGTTCGAACTTGGTATGTAATAACTTTATGTTCCAAACTCTGATGTATTAACTGTCGTTGCGAACTTTATGTAATGTGTGACGGTACTTGCTAAACTTGTACGATCTTGGTTTGTATGTCGTTTGATTTGAAATCCTTCGTGGTTTCACGGACTACCGGGTTATGCGGGTTTAAGTTTGCTAAATTATCTGCTTTGGCGGAAGATTTTCTTACTTAATCTCGTATAATTGGTCGGTTCTGTTACAGCCCTCACCTGGTGGGCGGCTCCCTCGCCTGGTGGGATGAGAGATGGAGGAGTCGTCGTCGCACGCGTGGGAGAGGAGGCATCGGGGGAGTGGGGGAGTCACGCGGGGTGGGAGGCGTCGGGGGTGAGGGGGAGGTGATTCGCATGGATAGACAGACGGACAAACCAAAATAAATATCGCACCAAAAGATGTTCACGCTTTGTTCTTTTTAGTGGTAGGAGATACGATGACGTGCATGGTCCCCCGAGTCCTCGATTTCGATCCCCACATTTAGCAAATTGCAGCATTTGACAACACACTTGGTGATACTGATACGTCCGTTCTGCCTTGACAACACACTTGGTGATACTGATACGTCCGTCCTGCCTTGACAAGGCCCCGTTCAGCTGGCAGAATTTTGACTGAAACCGGCTGAAAAACATTTTTCTGACTGAATTATTGTGAGAAAAAATACTGTTCTGGCTGAAAAAAAAAAGTCGATCAAACCGAATATAAGGTAAGCCCAACGGGGCCACGTGTCACTAATGTATTGTCAACTTTAACTGTCACTCGCTTCAGTTCATATGGTACCCCGTACGAGTACGACCTGCGGCGACTCGACGTGACAGAACCTGTGTGCAAGCCAATGATATTTAGGTGTGCCACTCCTCTGTCAGAAACGATGTCCTAAGTCATATAATCTGAAATTTAACCGGTTTTACAATACAAATGTTAATATTGATCCGCACAGGTTAAATGAGTTCAACTTTAATCAAATTTATAATAAATATTATTAGCATTTATGTCTTTAAATAAATTTACATGAAAAGATGTTCTATACTAACTAATCTAATAATATTTATTTTGTATCATGATTTTCAGTATTTTTTTATATAATTTAGTCAAAATTCAAACTATTTGATTTCTGAAAAAACAAGAATCACATTCTTTTGTGAACGAAGATAGTATCATACTAGATGTATATATATTTTTAAATTCGTCATGCTACATGTTTTTATGGTATAACTACTTGGAGTCATATATGTTAATATTATTATAGTCAAATTTAATATAGTTTGGCTCTGACCAGAACTGAAATTGTAATCTATATGTACCTAACAACAGAATGACTTACTATTTTAAATGGAAGAAGTATTTTTTTTGGATGGAAGCATATACGTACACCACCTAATGATCTAACCTTCCACAGCTACAAGTATATATTAGTAGCATTTCTATTCCACTTCTTCTATATTATGATGATTTCAGACAACACTCTTGTACTATCAATTAGTATAAGTAAATCGTCACTTTTGTGATTAATTATTTTTCTTTGTGTCATACCATATCAAAAAATTTTCTTGTCTGGCTATAGAAATAATGGTAAATTATTAAACTGTCTTTGTGCCAACACATATTAGATTTTGTTAGGTTTACGGTTTTGTCTAATGAATTTTTTATTCTCGAAACAAAAAATTATAGATTGTGTCTACAGAAATTTCAACGAACTAAAACTGCAATTTTAGAATAAAATAACCGGTCGTCGAAAAGAAAACTAAAATTCAGTGAAATTTAGCAAATCCCTTTCTATTCACATGCAAAGTCTTAGACCCCTAAATCTGTCAACTTTTCAACATACTCACTCTACTCCAAATTATAAAGACGTTTTCACTTTTTTAGAAAAAAAAACAAAACGTCTGGAATTTAGAATGGAGGGGGTAATAACTAGTAATTGCTATAGCTACAGATTTCATGATTCGAAGGACTAAAAAGGCGCTAACTACATGTCTCATGTGTGCTGCTGATCATCACTACTGTATGCATCTGGTTAGGTAGGACCTCGCCATGGCGACCAATCCACCGACGGCGCCGGAGACGATGACGACGCGGACGCCGTGGTGGTCGAGGACCGCCCCGGCGTCAGCCCGCCCGCGCCGGCGATGGCCTGCGGGTCCAGGTCGCCGCCGCTCTGCAGGATGTGGGCGTACCGGCTGAGGTCCGGGAACACCCCCCCCCCCCTGATCGGCACCAGCAGCAGCAGCTGCTGCGCTCCGCGGACCTGCAGCGTGGCGCGTCCCCCGCCGCGGAGCCGGCGCCAGCGCCGCCGACGTCGAAGCTGCCGACGTGGAGCCCGGCTGCTGGCAGTGGAGCTGGAAGGCGGCACGGTGGTCCGCGGGGAAGTTGGGCTTGGCCTTGGTGCCCTTGAAGCGGAGCGCGGCGGCGTCGAAGGTGCCGAGCCACACGCCCGCCGCCTTCACCGGGTCCCGGATCTCCACCGCCCACTTGCCCCACGGCCGGTGCCGCACGCCGCGGTACCGAGGCCGCTGCTCCGGCGCCGGCGCCGGCGCGGTCCGGTGCATCACTGAATCAATCCACACGGCAGAGGGAGCGTGTCAGGTCGTCAGAAATGTAACAGGGAGTGCCACCGTTTATATAGAATGGGCCCACCCGGGCAGAGTCAGAAGCATGCCGATCGGATTGCCACGTCGGCTCCCGCGAGGCGCAGGCGCACGCGCGCTGTGGGTCCTGTTCGGCTGGTATAAACCGGCTAAAGCTGATTTTTAGGAAAGAAAAATACTATAGACGGTAGCTGATTGAGTTCAAGCGAACGGGTCCGTGATTTTTTCTTTTACTCTGGGAAGATCCTCGTTTTTCATTTACAGTGGAGTAATTCATTCATAGTACTATTTGATCGATTGTCAATAAACTTTGCAAACTACTCACAACCAAATTTCTTTTTTTATATTAGAAAAAGAGCTGTAAATTGGATGCCGTTTTTGTTCTTTTGATTTGATTCGTTTGCAAACATGGGCAGCAGAGTGCAAGAATCTAGCTGAATGACATACTCCTATTCAGAGACTTAAAATCGGTTCATCTACAGAGGACTACTAGTAGTAGAGACGCCAAAGGTAAAAAAAAAAGAGGAGAGCACTGCACGTGGGCCCGTGCACGAACACGTGCGTACCTTGCTGGCCGAGCACGGCCGGCGTCGGCTGCGCCGCCGAGCTCTGCCTCCCGGCGCCGACGACGTGCGCGAGCGCCGCGACGATGATGGCGTGCTCGTCCTCGTCGCGCAGAGGGGTGCGCCACCAGACACCGCCGGCGCCGGCGCCTCCAGCTGCCGCAGCCTGTGCCTCCCCGCGGCCGGCCAGTGGCGGCGACGGAGCCCTGTCGTCGCGACGGGCGCCCTGGTGAGCGGCAGGAGCAGCGGCGCCGGTGCTCTCTCTGGGGCGATCCACGCTTGCGTGTGTGCGTGTGCGGCGCCGGCGCGCGCGAGGCAACACCCATAGGAGTACGTTGGTTGCACGTGTCCGGCTGTTAGTCGCGCGCGGTGGGCTTTAGCTTAGCGTCCAGCAAGGAGAAGGAGATTGACGCTGGCTGCAGAGGCGATAAGGATGGGACTCACTCGATCACTCGCGTGATGATGATGGGTAGGGCCGTGGGGGTAAGTCGAGTGCGTACGTGGGGGCACTTCAAGAAGCCTCCCTCCCTTTATAACCAACCGCCTCCCGACAACAACACGCGCTTGCGATTGTTACTGTGACCGGTTAAAGTGGTTGTGTCTTTACCGTTCTGAAAATTACCGCAAGGCATTTTACTACCACTACTATTTAAGAAAAGTTGACGCTTTGCAACTTTTGGATGCAAGTTGTTAGTCACAAATTCAAAGCATGTGTACTCCTATATCTATACCTAATTAATAATAAAGAAGTAAAATTTCAGCTCATTTTTTTATCTTTTTTTTTTGTCCGTCTCCCTATAACTACCGAACAATGGGGAGTTTCTTCTGTCTGGACTTCTATATATAAGCCATGTTCATACGAGTTAGAATAGCTCTTGTGTAGCGCGATACGAAGTCCGATTCCAAAAAGATTCTTAAAGTAACCTAAATAAATATTTTTATCCAAATTGAATAAGAATTCTAACCTAAATAGAAAAGGATGCCAGAGAAATTAGATAAAATCTTATTTTACTTCTATTCTATACCTAATATTTTTTTATCTGGCCTCTTTGCATTTTTTTCGTTAATCTGTTGTCCGTTTTTGTTTCTTCTGAAGAGTCCATTTCTATTTCCTGTAGAGTCCGTTTCTATTTTTCCCGTCGAACCTTGGCTCCAGGTGTGTTTCTGCTACAACTAAAAAGAACAAAGCGTGGACATTTTTTGGTGTGACATTCCAACGTGGGTCTATCGTCCTGCCTGTCCGACGCGTGGCCGTCCCTTGAGATATTTAAAAGGAAAGAGCTAAAACAAAACCACTGCTGTGATTCAGCCTCAAACCTCGTTTCCGTGATTTGAAAAGGACGGATCGCTCCCGTGATTCATCTGCACGGCTACGCATCCACCGCGCCCCATCGCCCGCTCACAGCTGGCCGCGCCGCCGCCGCCCGCGCCCGCCCGTGCGATCTCCTCCCCGCTCTCCTCCAATCCTCCCCGCAGCACCCCTCCACCGACTGCCCTCACCAACACCTGCGACCCCCACGTGACTAGGGAGCCGGACCGCCGCCATCAAGGACCGCCGCCACGCCGTCGCTCCCGGCTCCTGGTTCTTGCCGACCACCAGCATCCACGTCGGTGTCTGTATTTGCGTCCTTGATTCGGCTCGCCCGCATCTACGTCGTGAGATCTTCATCGGGCCCTTCACCGGTGACGAAGACCTGCGGCAGCAGAAGCCGGGAGGGCGCCCGCGCGTCCCTCCCCCCGATCCGGCTCGTGTCTTCGTCGGTCCTGCTGTGCTGCCAAATCCTCCGCTCGTGCCGCACTTCCACCTCCCTCCCGTCCTGCGAGGAGCACCACCAGGTGTGCCAATCCCTTCTCTTCCCTTCCTGTTGTGCGAAACCGAGCACCCAAACCCTACCTAACTTCGATCTAATTACATGTGTGTACATGTATTATGCCTGCTAACTTCGATCCCTTTCAATGGTTATCATGAGGATTTAAGTATTGTGTACATTTCTTTGCATTGCTTCTTAAGAGGATTGTTTCTATTTATCGCTTGACACAGGGTTCTTGGTTGACCTTTCCAGATGTGTGATTCCTTTTAACTGCTAATTTTTGCTGTGTTTCTGAGGGATTAACCCGTAGCAAGTTGTGTTCTTCTGATAAGGTACTCTCTCAGCTTCAATTACTGCATGCTTAGTTGCTATATGAAACAATCCTGCCATGAAAATAATTGTATAACTATCATCATTCACTTCATCACTTGATCAGAGTTGTAGGGCATAACATCTAAGCACTTGGGTTTACTGTATGAGATCAATGTTGCTGTTCAAGGCATCACAAACGTTTTAGTTTACCATTTTTGTTGTCTAAAATGGTTTTACTAGCAGACTTGCAGTGCATTAGCTGCTTGGTCTATATTATTCTGTAGATTACCATACCCAGTCAGCCCAACTTAGAAATTGGTTTCTAAAACTGATCCGTACCTAATGCGCTGAATGCAAAATAAGATTGACCTATATGATTTTTTAACAATTCAGTATATTTGTCTAGAGAAAACCTACCTATGTAATAGTTCCTACCGCTAAGTAACAGTTCTAAATTCAGTATACTGGTGCATTAGCTGAAAACATTTTTCTCATGCAGTTACTAAATCCATTCAGCCCTGCGACTAAGTAACAGTTCCATGACCTGTCTATGGTTGATTGCTTACAACCCTACTAAATGTTTGCTTCTCATTTGCGCTACTGATCCCTGATGGTTACCCACCAAAAGTCCAAATCAGGGCAGGTGATAAATTCTGCTTCACCTGATAATAACATTGTCAACGTGGATATACTGCCTTCTGTGTTGGTATATACCCTTTAGTAACAACCAGATGAAGAAAACTCAATCTTACACTAAAATAAGAGACATTTGTGTCTGGCCATGAGATATTTGCATCGTAACGAGATGGACCATTTTAGATCTATTAAAGGATCAATATGTCATGCATCATATGCAAACCACCTAAATTTTCATGTAATCATATCTTAAGGGCCATGTGATTCAGTTCATCAGCTCTTATGTCTTATGGAGTTGTACTCGTCAGAAAGTTTGAGCAGCTTATATCTGAAGGGCGCTATTCTAGCAGTGACCGGGCTACCAAGATGGGAATAGGATTGGGATGCATTCTTAGAAATTAGGAGCTCATCGTTTGGTGTCTAGGACTACGATATATATATATAGGATTTAAATGCAATCTGATTTTGCAGTTACGGTTGAGCTTCCTTAAGTTGTAGTGCAGCATAATTCAATGAAGATGTAATGGAAAATAGGTTGCTGCTGATGTGTGTTTTTTGCTGCTAGAGGACTGAAATGTGCTAGAGGCTTAAAACTCTATTTTTGGTCGACCTGCTGCTAAGAGGACTGAAATGTGCTAGAGGCTTAAAACTCTATTTTTGGTCACCCTAGAAATGTCTGTTTCATCGATGTGTCTTCGATTCACTACTGTACTCTAATGATCTATTATTTTCCAGAAATAATGTATTACCACAGGGTGTTATAGTCTGGTGCATATTTCTATGTCATTCTTCCTTGGTACTTCCTTTAGTGAAAGGAACTGATTATATATTTCTAGCCAAGTACACCCTTTGTTTGTAATTATATGACATTTAGGACAAGCTAATATATGTCACTTCTCTATTCTCAAAGCCCTGTTCACAAGCATGTAGGTAAAAAAACATTCACAAGCATGCTTCTTCGGATATTCCGTTCCCTCTGCATTTATTTGTTTTGTGTATGAACCGTCGTCATGGAGATTAGAACGGAGTATGTTTATTTCATTTATCCTGCCTCACAAGATAAGAACAGTGATAGGAAAACAACAATAGTTGGTCCTTTTTCTCTCCAAGGATCAATTTTGCCCCGAAATAATACAACATCCCATCAATCTAATTAAGGGGATGGTTTTAGCAGACTAACTTCTCTAATCTTCTCCTTTACTTATTTGTGTAACATTTTAACCTTTGGTGTGAAACATAGCATGCAGACTAACTTCTTAAACATAGCATGCATGAATTCTAGCATCTAGACCCGATTTAGTAAATTTTTGTGTGTTAGTTTAAATTACCTTTGCTTTGCTGCAAATAATCCTTTGTGGACCTATAAATTTCTTCTCAGGAAAGCAAAGCATTCTCTATTGATTAACCTCACCTGATATACTTAATCCTCTAACCTCACCTGATATGCTTAATCCTACAACAAAGAGGCACATGGCCATGTTTTAGATATGTGCATTTCCTGTTTTTGCTGTGATTGTTTCAATATCATCAATTGCCCTTTTTTTATATCTGAAATAGTAAAAGTGCAATGCGGATATTAATATATATCATCAACAAAAGGCTTTGAAAAACAAGGAAAATTTACAGGCTATTTGCCATGTGCCTTCAGATTAATATCCATTGCCTTCAGATTAGTGTCTATTGCCTTCAGATTTCACCAAGGGGAATGTTTCAAATTTTCTTTCTTTACCCGCAGATCCAGTAACCAGTTCGCTGCTGCCCACCTCCAGAAAGTCATCTACACTGACAGGGCCCATAGGCAAGGCAAAGTTTCATGTGTACTTGTGTAATTGCTAGCTTCATGAGCAATTTATATGTTCGAGAATGCACTACTCCTCTGTCCATACGAACATGATTCTAAAAAAACAGAGCCATCTGCCATCCAGACTACTAGAGTCAGCATATCTATTCTAAACTTTTGCTTATACAATCCACTCCATACGTGTATAGCTATGAATTAATTTAATTTGTTTGTTGCAGACGACTTTAATAGTTTTCATAGTCTTTGGTACATCCTTTGTTAGTTACTTAGTCATCGTTGGCAGTGCTCTCCGAACATCTGAATGCCAATCTCAAATTGACTCTTCTTCCTTGTTTCAACCTTTTGTTTCGTTCCCTGTAGTATTCAGATTGCTTCTCTAGCTTTCATTTTTTGTTGAGGCCTCCATTTTTTCTATCAAAATCCAGTTAGGAGCAAGTAACGCTATGACTGAGACGAATATCTTTAGATAAAAAAATATGCAAAATTGACTGCAATAAGTCTTCTCTGCTGAAATTGATTTTAATCCAAAGTTGTGATCACTGGTAAATTAGTAGTTGTTAATATACCTCATCTGCCCTAGCTGTTGCAACCACCTCTAAAAAACAAAAAATTCAGCCATACTTTTCTATGCTTGGGGATGGGTAGGTTTGAAATCTATGGTGTTGTTTAGATCCTCAATTTTTTTCTCATTTTCTGCCAGTCTTGCTCGTTGTGGATTAGTGTTTTCTTGTTCATTTCTTTTGTATAAAAGATTCACAACCTGTAGAAACAATCAAGCCGTTCTAATGGTCTTGCATAAAAAAATTTAAAGAACTAAACACTAGATACCGTAGGGGAATGCTTGTTGACAATATGTTCTAATGGTTATCATCTTGAAAGGCCTTTTAATTCACTCTTTCATTCTCCAAGATTCTGGCAATAGTAGAAAGCTTAGGGAATTGGTCTATTCTGAACTGATTAATCTCAGTTAGTTGAAACCCAGCATGATACCCAAGTCACGGTTCAGGCACTTCAATAGCTGCTTAGTTCATAATTACACTAGTTATAGCATTTCCTATTGAATTTTTAAATAGTGTAGTTTCTTAATTGCTTTGTTTCGGAACCAAGTCTTTTGGTCTGACCTGAATATGTATTATGCCTGCTAACTTCGACCACTTTCAGAGATTAATTTCTGATTGAAACTAGGGATTAATTTTATGTTCAGTTTCATCGTAATGGAACCTATGCAAAATAATGAAGGTCGTACACCATTTGCAGACTTGACAAACACCATCAATGGAGGTAATTGTTTATACACATGTCCATAGACGCTTTCACTTGTATTATTTGTGGTGATTAAGTAAATATCTATCAACTTATTTACAAACAGCTGGTCAGACAACATCAAATTCACAAGCGCAAGTTGATGAACGTGCACAGCGTATAAGGGAAAGAGAAAAAGCACGACATGTAGCAATGACTCAAGAAGAAAGGGATGAAAAAAAATGTAGAGCAAAGTATCTTCTGAGAAAGGTGGAAACTGCACTAGCTGTTGGGTCGAGAGGTCCACCACATTCTGATTTTCTGTTTCTGAATTTAGTATTACCATTTTTTAGTTTATTTAATGTATAGTGGTGTATATGTTGTAAATGTATATACATTGAGCTAAAAGTTTTGTGCAAATTAGGAAAAAAATCAGATGGACTAAAACTTTACAAATTAAGAAAAGTTTTTTTGTTGTGTATGAATGATACCACCTACTTGCATCTCATTGGTTTGCTTATTTGTTGTGTAATTATGTTGTACCAGTTAGAGTTGAATCAACCACGGAAAACACTGATGGCTATGAACAT